GCGTTCATTAATCTGGATAAATCAGGATGCTTTTCGAAGCTTCTAGAAAGATTTAGAAAGACAGGCTTAGAGGTAGCACAGAGTAGTGAACTAAAGACCTAAATATGTTCACTACGGTTTTTATTTTCTACTCAGCAGACTGTCCGGACTGAAGCGATGGTGATGACAGAAGACCTCGCTTTCCGATCGTGATGTGCGTCATGGATATGATTCCGCTCTTGAAAAAATGGATACTGCTTTGCATGACAATCGTCTCCGCCGAGAGAGCAATATAACTTCCGGACAGTTTCGTTAGGCCGAATCATGAAGTGGGATTGGTGAGACGAAGTTACTTCCCCACCTATCGCCAATTCGCTGTTAAATTAAAGCTAACGGCAAGTGGTAAACCGTATACTTATATGAAGCTGATTGTCGCTACTATTCCGACCAAAACGCCGAGCTTTAGAGAGGAGGAGCTATCGAATTGCATATCGTGTTCAGTGCGCTTGGCCTGGTCGATTAATGTTACCATCGATCGAGAAAGACCGTGACGTCTTTCCATACTCCAAGGGGTAAGCGCTGGAGTAGTTTAGCTATACCTTATAAAATTTTTTGCGCGCCATGACATTTAATTGTTTGGTGATGCAGCTATCGCAGCTGTGCATAGACAGACTTCGACTATACATCTGCCGACAGATGTGAAGGACATGGGAGACTGAATGTAAACATCCATATCAAACAATGCGGTAGTGCTCGAGTAGAAAAGCTGTTCGCCAATATGGACAAGGGCGTTATTACAGTTGACATAACGCTTGATTTTTAGATGCTTGTTTTGAAGGTATAGTCTGCGGGAAGACCCTGCAGAGATAGAAGACATCGTATATCGGCCGGTGCACTAATTTCAAGGGAATTTAAAAGAGTTGCTTGACCGACTACTTGCAAGTATGATGCCGATTATGCTGACACGCACGACGTTTCATAATTTTACAAGACTGTCACATGGCAGCGAGGAGTGGCAAACGAGGCGGTCTTTGAGGATGTGCCCTGTTATGGCTCTTTCAAATTCGGATCGAAGATATGTTTTCTGTGATGCTTCAGCTTTTAACGTTGGGTGATTTGTACTTAAATTCGACGCCAATACACATGAACGCGTGATCACGTTTCGGCTCACCGGCTTGAAGCAACAAAGAATTACTGATAATTTACAAAAGGAGCACTTCGAATCAAAGTATGTTTTTGTCGAGTTCAGATTGAATCTGCTTGGCGCTAATGCGCTTGTGATCAAAAAGATACTGCATTGTTGCACACAGCAACGTCGTCACCACATCTATCGCGGAGAATGGTATCTCTCTTTGCCGAGTATACCGTTCACGTAAAGTATAAGCCGCGATCGCTTAATGTATCGACGAATGCGCTTTCGCGACGCCGCACATATGAATCGTTGCATGCCACAATGGTGATGTCGCTGATTTATGTAGATTTTGTACCGCGTGGGTCAGACGCAACATAAACTGAGGTGCTAATTTTTTTGGAGAACAAGGCGTTTGAGAATTCAGATGTCGCTTTATCGAAGCGCGCGGTTGTACGCCTGTACCTCTTGGCCTTATCTCAAGGCTTTCTGTATGATAGTACTGTACGCCGAAACTCTCACGTGCCGCAAAAAATGAGGAAAACCATGAGAGCCAGGCACGGTAGGGCAGTCCACCGCTTGCATTGCCCAATGGTCAAAAAGTAATATACTAACATGCGGAGCGAAGTGTGAGCCAGCGATCTAACACAACCTCGAGCTGTAACCAGTATTTGGCGAAGAGAAGCACTCCAAGTACTTATGATATACAATGTGCCTCAGTGCACCACCTGTATTTATCCCAGAAGAGCGAGAAACAAAAAGCTTTTCAAGAGCGACTGGGGCTCGAAATTACTTCAAATCGTAATTTGGTTGATAGCTGTCGCAAAAACACGGAAGCTCTTATGATTATTTTCTGCTGACGTTTACGTCGCGTTTTAAGCTTTGCAAAGTCATGCAGTAACTTTGCTCCAATTTGACGTCTGCCCCGTTTAAGCTGTCTTGTAAGCTTCTAAGTCGGATGATGCGATGTGCCTACCTCATCCAGTGTGTGATGAGGTGTACTTATCATAATTATCTCAAGCGCTTGGTACCCCCGTGTGAGCTATTCAACGGGATTACTCTGGGGGCACGAACTTACCCAACCGCTACTGCACTAAGACACCTGAGAAGTGGTGATTTGAGGGGTCAGGAAGCGCCCTCGCAGCGACTTTAAGCGGAGTGGCAACTACTTAGCGATTGCAGGCGCAGCTGCGGTGCGGCGGGTCACATTGGATGGATCGAATCCCATGATAGCGACATTATTTAGTCTGGGGTGATCTTTTCAATAGTCTCTTCAACTCTTGCGGTTGCAGACCAGCAAACTTGGTTCGCCGATGCGGTTCTGGTTATCTGTGATAAGTTGGACTACATCATGAGCCGTAAAGGGTATCCTTCTGCTAGAAATAGGCGGTGTGTGCGCAACTCGCAAGAATGAAACGAAGCCTAAAAGACGTTAGAGCCTCGGCGAGGACGAAGAACGGCGTGGTCATGTAACCTTTAGTGGTAGCGCGGGTGTGTGTTGTATCTTTTGGTCACTAAATCTATCTACGCAAAAGTTGAACGACACTACTACTAAATAGTACTAAAATATTTCCTTCTGTCACATGGTCAGCTTTATGCTACAGTATTACGAACTCATCTCTTATCCACTTATTGAAGAATTTAGTTTATAAATCAATAAAACATAACTGTTTGATTCGTAAAGATTACTCGTTGTAGAAGCTTCAGACTACTCTTATGAGCTGAACATCCCACCAACTTGACTGAGAACATCAAGACATCGATTCTGTTCTTGATACTCTCAGACTATGACCAGCACTTTTCTTCATTTTGTCAATAATTAAACCCGCCGAGAGTTTCTTACTGCATTTTTTAGCTTGTTGGGAGTAAAAGGCTCCGACTACTTTACCGCTTCATTAGATCAATGACGAACTCAATGAAATATAAGCAGCTTGAGTAGCTATTCGTGTATAACCCATTAAGAATCTATCGCATCTATTTGCTGTATAATCCAGCGCTTTGTTGTCACGATACGAGGTGCCGTCAAAGTGAATTAAAATCATCCGTTTTGTTTTGATGCCAGGCAGTTCTTCCATTTCCCAAAAAATGACTTATCTAGTCACTTGTCCATTTCATCTCACAAAAGGCTTCACAGTGCAACGCCGTAAGTAGATTGTGTAAGAAAAGAAGGCGTCAAGATCTACCTTCGACTACCTCCATATCTGAGAGTATCATTGCGTAATAAATCATAGCCTTTAGTAAATATATCCATCGAATTCACAAGCTAAAAACTACCAACAGTAGTAGCGCCACTGCCACTACACCGACTTGGTATTTTATCAACCTTGGCCGTGTCATCAAAAGATGCAATATAGCCAATAGCAGCCTCGAGCATTGTAGCATAGTATCCCGTTTCACCAATCATTAGTGCCGTAATCATCGTTTCGCTAATTATATGACGAGCCACAATGACACTTCGAAGTCGACATCGTGCCAATATAAAGATAAAAATTGGTAAAAAGTCATCAGCTGCCATTGTCGGCTGCTTTTGAGCTCCTACACTATTCGTAGCAATGTTGTGTTCGCGTGCATAAGTCTCATAGATACAACGTGCCACTTCCACAAGCACAGCTGCCTTTTCGGACGGAAGTGAATAATTATCCATTGTATTGAGTAATGCAATAGCTGATTGCCACTCAGAAGGAGATTGATGTGTTGGTCGAATTTCAAAAAAACTCTGAGGATACGATGCCACTCGTTGACGCAATCGTTCAAATTGCTCTTCTTCTTGTTTCTGTCCACGTCCAGATCCCGTCCGAGCTCCTAATAATTGATAAATAATCTCTTGCAATGGAATAAAAGTCCGACGTTCTAACTTATACAACGCTGCACGACGAGCAAGTGCCCACTCATCATCCCTTAGTGCATGTTGTCCATCTAATGGTGACATGCCTGGTTGTTGAAGTAAAGTTGAGTTTGCAAAAGTTGTCACATGATCCATAATCAGCTCGAGGGACCGTTCAAGAAAGAATCGATAGTTTTTAAGTGCCAACAGACTGCGTGCATCTTGCAAATTCGTAACGTGTAATGTTGCATCTAATGAACCTTCTCGAGTTTCTTGGTCACTGTCCGACTCATTCCCAGTTGCAAGCGCCCATGGCTCCGAAAGTCGTGTCCATGCTGATGCACCAATTGCTGAGACCGAGGCAACTGCTGGGCGCTCATATTTTCGTCGAAACAGGACAAGAAAGTTTGCAATATGTTGCCGCATCGTTTTGCTTGCTAAGAACTGGTCACATTCGCGCAATAACGCACGCAACGTCGGAGATGCAGAACTGACAGCGCTCAGAACACCACCAGGTTTAGCGTGCAGCGACGCCCATAAATGCAACACGTCACTTCCAGAACTGTTACCAGTCTGTAAGTTTGATATTCCATTGCGTCTGTCACTAGAGGTGTCATTACTCGAAGCTCTGGTAGCTCGATGAGCGTGGTTAATACCATCAAAATAATCTCGAAACGAGTTTCCATTCAGAGCCATAGATTCAGCACTCAATAATCGTCGTTTCGCGACACTTTCGCGTAAATCAAAAGGTATACCTCCATCTGCTACCTGTTGATTTTGATACGAATCGCGACACAACAATGCATCTTCAATACAATACATCCAATTTTCACGATCACTAAGTCGTTCAGCTTGTAATAGCAACGTATACTCAGATCCAACTTGAATGGCAAAACTTGCATCACGACCCCCTGTCACGTGAACATCTACATAGTGAACACAAGTTTGTGGATGGAACAGCAACACTTCTCCTTTTAATTTCGTACAGCACGCATCGCTATAATACCGCAACACAGACTTGTGAAGCACAAAATATCGGTCTTTCCAATTTTTACACACATGACCACGTTTACGTAACCAACCACTCATCGAATCAAGAAATGCATCATCAAAGGCACTTGTAATTGTATCGTTGGAAAACTTTTTGCGTCCTGAACGTAATCGTCGATAACGTACCCATTTCCGTCGACGCACTCGCAATCTTTTTCCTGAAGAAGTGAAAGGAGAAGAAGATGGTACTTCTCGATCTAATGGCAAATACGCTTGTCTTTGAGAATTAATCGATCGTCCTCTTGAATGACGCAGCGGACGTGGGCGAAAATGTGAAAAGCTGGATGCGTATTGCCATCCATCCATAACATCGTGGGAGTTTCCAAACGTTTCCAAATGCCATGGACTTGCCCACTCCCATCGAGGACTTTGAAAATTCTTTCCATTCATTGTTCGTTTTGTTTTGTCATTTTTTGTAGAACTTGCAGCTGATCGACTTCGTTGTTTAGTTGTCGTAATTTTATCAATAAGTGGTGGATCTGGTAATGAAATATCTGGAAATGTCGATGCTGCAGTCCATTCAAGCAACACATCGTTCTCAGTCTCATGTATACTTTGTGTTTGTCGTTTCCGGATTTGCAAACCATGCCGTACTACACGCATGTATTTATCCGGATCTAATGGCAATAAATGTCCTTTAGATCCCCAACCTAAAACCATATGGTACCGTTGATACTCGTATACTTCCTCGGTCACGAATGTTTGTCGATTCGACTCAGAATGATGATCCAATGTAATCCCATGACTTCTTTCATTCTGTTGATGCATAAAATTCTCGAAATGTGGATGTGTAGTATCTTGTGGAACATTGAGATTGTCATGTTGCTCCAATGAGTTAGTCGTGTCATTCAAAAAGCTGTTATTTCGGTAATTCAAAAGGAAACTATTGGTGTTGATGCTACGTGACGATGAGGAGGCAGAGACGCTTGGAACGATATTCGAGTGAGAAGAAGATGAAGTACAGGCAACGGACATCCAATACGACGCGTCACGTGCACTTATAAGCGGCCCGGAGTCGGCGCGTGATACCGGACTGACCGCCATCTTACCTTTTTTGGGTTATTTTTATTAGTAGAATGACCAATCAAAATGTGGGACTTGAATGAGAAAAATGAAATTTTTTGATAATTTTGTATATAGAAACATAACTCATATTTCTATACCGCGTTTTTTGTCTTTACCGCAATTTTATGAGTAGTAAGTGACATTGCTGCAAGTATTTAACTAGATTTAAGCTTAAAATTTGACTCAGATTTACTAATGTCATCCCTATAACAACTTTAAAAAGTTTGTTGGGGGAAGACGTGTATGCTCGTTCAGCAATTCTTCAGCCTTATTGCCAACAAATATACATCAAAAGGATTTCATAAGAACCTCAGAATTGAGGCAAAATGCACTCAGACGCGCGATGAAATTCACTAAGGCAGCGAGTGTTAAGGAACAACAAAGAGTGGCGGCAACGTTGACATCGTATTTATTGTTTTAGGCTCATAACACGATCAAATTTTGAAGCTAATGACTCCTGAGCAGTTCACAAGATGACATGGGCCTGATCGTAGTTTGCGACACCATCCACAACTTCTTTTCAGAACTCGATTTATCAAGACGCAGTGTCTTAAGAGATTGAGATGTCACGCGGCTTTTCAGGGGCTAATGGTGAGTACCTGGTTTACCGAAATAGGTTGTCAAATCACAGGAATTAGTAGCAACTCGACTTTTATCCGAGAACATCTTACCAAACTCTACCTGATTGATCGAGGAATTACTGATTATCCGCATCGAACTCATCACGGAAAAGCCGGTTCCTTTTTTCTTTAAGGAAAAGGTTCATTATCATAAATGTCCTAACTTCTGCAATTTCAGGAACGTCTTTGGGAAGATCTAGTCTCATCAGGTGTATGGAGAAGTGTCATTTATTCCAAAAGCTGGTCATAGACTATTTCGTTTGTTTGTGCGAGGCGCTGAACATGTTCGAGCCAATAAAGCTGTTCATTTTTTGATGTCCACAATTTCTTCGGTTTTGGAAGGTTGTCAAAGCTTCCATAACTTTTACCACGCTCAGCTAAGAGAACCCTTATAGCGTTACTAAAGGGTTCGTCTCTTCCAAACAAACCTTGCAAGGTTTCTGTTAAAATTACACCGCTGAATGCATGTGGATGATTACGGATGCTGTTTACGGACATAATGGTAGTCGCTCATTGGTCTAGATAGAAAAGGTTACATTAAGAAGCTTCTAGAAGGATCTAAAAAGACAGGCTTAGAGGTAGCACAGAGTAGCGAGCTAAGGACCTAAATATATTCACTTTGGTTTTTGCCATCTTATCAACACATCTTATCAACAGTTTCGCCATCTATATGTTGTGACATGCGACGATAAGCATGATGTACGAGTACCCATTGTTCATCTTCTTCTTTTTTAAGTTGTCAAAACTTTCCACTCAACAGCTTAAACCACACTTCAGTAATCTTAGTATCGAGAATCTTTTATCCATTATTATCGACGGAAAGAATCATCTTCAACCTTTCACTTCCGCTGGGGTAATCATAGTTCTGGAGAATTGTCGCAGAAAAGAGAGGGAGGTCTTAATTTAAAACAGTAAAGGCGACTAAAAGGAACCTCAAGTGAACGAGCCTTATCATTTCTTCATGCAGATATTGGACTATTTATCAGAAAAAGATTGTTGCAATTATTATAATGTCTTGGAGACTAAAAAGTGGCTAGTTTAACATGCTCTATTATGTTGTTTTTTACTTTGACCCATTCCTAGTATTCGGGAGCTCTATTTGTCAATTTTTCTCTCCATATGATGTGATCACCGGCTGCTCTAACACGAGCCTATAATTTCTAGTCTTATCGAGAAGCCAGCCCAACATTTTGAGTGTAATTCTTATCCTTAGAGAACTTTAGGTATTGTTTTTAATTTAGTAATGGAATTATTACACATCAATAAAGTTACTTTTTTTCGCCCTCATTGTATCAAAATCATTCGTCTTAAAAGAATCGAATAGTAACTTTGATAGATGGCGTAGATAGCACAGAGTCCATTCATGTATCTTTACTTAACCAATATCACTTAACCAATGATGTCAAATGCGTTAAGTGGTAGTGAACTCCTTTATTAATCATTGTTTGTGATGCTATAACTAATTCATCTAGTCGATCGACTACGAGAACAAGCTATCATTATAACATCAACACGACTTCGATACCACGAGAAAATGCGGACCAAAAGCCACGCGCGCCCAATCTAGTAAAAAGTGGGTACAAGACATTATGTCAATTTATTAATTTGTTTTCAGGCGATGTAGCAAAAATCTAGAAAATTAATCGTCATGGTAACGATGACAAAGACAAGTATGCGCTGTATCAAGGGCACTTCGTGAAACCTGTAATCGCGTATTTAAATAACATTCGAAATCCGGGGAGCATCGCCATTCCTAGAGCGAAAACCTTCAAAGCACGAACACCATGGGCTCAACAGCATATCCAGAATATATATGAGATTAATATCTCACTTGGTGATAGTCAGGTTTTTATGCAATACATCACGCACTACAAATTTCAGAGATCGAGTCTACGACTGCTGTCATCTGTGTCCTGGTCTGCTCATGTGCGATATTCTACAATGCCGATGCTTATAACGGTTAGGTATACACATCGGCTCGGAGATACCATACAGCTGAGACTATCGGTGCAGCGAGGCTGCCGTAGCTTTTTGCTTAGAGGAAGCTAAGCTATGGTCACCGACCTTACGTTTTATACTAGAACCAGTATGAGTGCAGCGGATCGCAATCCGCTAACTCCAAGAGCACCCAAGGCAAATAAAACTTTTTCGTTACAAATCCAAACTGTAATTCTTTTGTTTTATTTGCGGCAGAGCCGCCTTTATCTAAATTTGTAGATTTCTGTGATTAAATAGCAAAACCTAATTAAAATGCATCGCTACTGGCAGTCTCGCCACGTAGTTGTTAAAGTGTATCTAGATCATTGAGTGGTCACACCACCTTGTGTAACTTACTCCCTCATACCCGGTTACGTTTAACCCCGTCACACTCTCTCCATCAAAATTTTGAATACCCACCATTCAATTTAACTGTCGCCTCGTACGAAGCTCGCATGTCTGAGACACCACAACATCACCGGACCATCTCTTCACATTCTCTGCTCAATGAGCCTTGTGTCTATGACACAAAAGACACCCAGTCTAGCGCCCTTTATCTCCTGCACGCAAAGCAACTCCGGACAATATGTCACCCAGCCATTCCCAGAGCATGCCGCTTTCGCTACTCGCGGCTCACGAGAAATGCATCCCAAGCCCTCGGCAACCGTGCGCCGCACACCGCGCCCGCCATGGGCGACGGATTTTCTACGGAAGAAGTCGATTACGAGTCGTTTACTCTTTTTCCAGGATGGGAAGAAGAGGAGGGCGAGGTGCGCAAACGACGCGACGTGACTCCTGCACGAGCCTTGCGGACACTGTGTCCATTTCTCTACCTCTCGAGTTCCGGGGGAAGTGGTATCATTCTTAATTGCCTCGACGAGGCATAGGAGCAGCAGTTGGAGGCTGTCCACAGGGCGGCTCTCATGCGCTCGCATCCACGGTCAGTTCTATAGCTCGTGTGGAATACGGCTTCGGCTCGGCAGATCCCGCTCCTGAAGCGAGGGACGCGATCACCCGATCGTTGGGCGTCTACGTCGTCGGGTCCCCGGTCACTACACAAGCCGAGCTTGACCGATGACAAGCTCACCGAGCTCGCCCCTTGGTACCTCAAGAAACCCCAAGGTTAGGTATCGACTTCGCACTTAAACAGGAAGCGCTCCTGTACCCGCAATGCAAACGATTGCTGTGGTACTCGCTCCTGGCAAAACCGCTGCAGATGATAAAGAGCTCTTTGAGCGAAGAGTGCAGCAGCACCGAAAATTTATCTCGCTGTCAAACTTACAACGGAGCAACAAAGAGGTGGACGTGTGCGTAGAACACCATTTTTGGTTCGAGTTTGCCAAACTCAAGGCACAACGCCGAATTCCTTCGTTTTGTCGCTCTGCGACGTATGGATTGTGTCATCACGCTCTCACAGGAGAGCCTACGACAACAGCAGCTCAGGGCTATAGCTTGAGCTCAGCTCATGACACTTCCGATTTCCGGGCTACTGCCGAGAAGCGCGGGGCGCACGACGACGCGAAGCGTTATGATCTCTCTGATCATAAGCGTCTTTGACGTTGGGGCATTGATGCCAAAGTGGCACCTCAAACTCCCGAGTATCCCCGCCACTTCACAAGATATTGGGTTAAACCGTGCCGACGACGTCGACGGATAAGGCGTTTCACGTA